GTCTCCAAAGTATAGTTTACTCCTCGATTTCCGATCAGCCCGTTCAGCTTTCCTTTCTCTACCCTTTCGCGCAGATTGCGCAGACTCTCTTGTCGATTCCATCTACAAAACAACACTTCCGTTCTGTCCTCGATTTGTCATATGTTTAAGTGGGCCAGGTGGTTGTACGAAGTTAAACGGTAAGCTGAAGTGGTCTACTTCACGGAAAACCGCCCATTAAGCGTTGCGAAAATTTTCCATCGAAGAGTTTGAGCTCACAGAAAAATGCAACATCCCATCTTCTGAGAAGCTCTTGGAAATCCTGTAGCAAACACCAAGTTAACCTCTAATAGTTGTGGCGATTTCGTATCCGAAACGTTCATTAAAAACTCGACCGCCCGCCTAAGAACACTCAGGCTTGGGCTGGGACCGTTTTTGAAATTAAAACCTGCACCCTCTGCGACGTGACTGCCGTGATCGTGTTGACCATGCTCTCCTTCTCTTGAACCTTTCCTCTTTTGGAATATGTGGTAAAATTCAGAAGTTCATACCTTCTTATCAGGTTGCTCGCACACAACGGGCTAAGAATTCCAAGGCCGTGTCCAACCCCACAGGCGTGAGGGGTGGATTTATTCAGGGTACTATACCTGGCCCGTTCTTATTCCGCCTTTTTTATCAGTGATTTGCCAGCTTTATTTCAAAACGGTAGGCTTTCAAACAGTCTTTCTTTTAATCCGCTTGCTACTTTAGGACAGTTAGACCGCCCCCGGCGCAACAGTCGCCGCGAGATCAGCTTATTTCTTTCTCCGGCATGTACCATTAACTATCCTCAATCCTTTCCTATGAACACTATTGCCATCTGGAACGGTCACCCAGGAATGTGAAGATTCTGCAAAATTATTTTTTGTGTGAGAGAACTAGCACTCGTGCTTTGCATACAGAAAAACTCTTACAATTTTTCGGTGCTGAATCCATCGAATTAATCGTCTGTAATGATGAAGTTCAAAGTATCGGATCCTTCTGCCGGGCTTCATCTTGTTAGAAATGGCGCCGACTAAAGAGCGCGCAACATTACGGACAATTTCTTCCGCCGACAGCGAGAAAATGTTGCCCCATGCACTCTCTTTGATGCAGTCCGAATCCCATGAAAAGGAACAGAAATTGAAATTATCCGATGTAATGTCAGCCATTCCCTTTAGGGATTGACGTCCTTTCACGGGCAGCAGTTTCTTCTCCTGAACCATACGAACTATCCAAAACACCATCATCTATATTTACTTCCTCAGGAGTTTTCGCAATGCTAGCCAGATCCGTGCCTTATCTTTCTTTAACAATGCCTGTAAACTGGGACATAATATGAGTATTATTATTATTGGCCTTAGTATCTTTATGACCCCCGGTCGCAGGCGGTGAACTTCATTGCGGACAGGGTTTGAAATGGCATATGAAACTCTGGGCGAACATAATCATCCACCGCGTTAACTCCTATTCAAGCTTCCTTAATAATCCAGTAAATTATGCTTAGCCCGTCGAAGTGAGCCCTAACGCTTCTAGTTTCATTTTGCATGCCTGCCACGGCGGACATGAAAGTCAATTGTAAAATTAATGATGATCAACAACAACATCCGGACGCCTCGAATTTAGTTTAAAGTCCTCAGCCCGTTTGGAACTTCATTGTTTTCGGCATTATGGGCGACTGAATGCCTTTGTACCTCGGAGGTGTCGATAACTGAGTTAGCAAAAACAGTGCATTCATCTTCAAACGTTTACAACGGGGACTTCTCAGGAAAGCAGAAACCTTCGTCTGACACATGTTCGCCGCCAGTTCTCACGGTCCCACAAAGTAGATAACGGCTGGGTCGTTAGGAATTTGTTCTATACCGTTTGTCACTTCAAATATTTGATTACAGTTTCTTGCATAAAAATCCCGCATCATCAGCTAACCGTGCTCATTGAACTTGGGGAATCTTCGATGCATAAGAGTGGGTGGCCTGGATTTGAACCCGACAACACGAGTTCAGGAGTAAGTGACTTATCTACCAGACTACACTGGTAGGACGTGAGAGGCGAAAACTTTGGTAGACAAAGTGTAACCAGTCTCCAAATACATTGCGAGGATGGGCACGCCGTCATTCGGTCGCCTCACACCAAACGGGGGAAGCTTGGTAACTTCAATAGGACAACATACCGTCAGAAAGAATAGAATGCCAACATTTAGCTCGGTAGCTAAAAATAAAGCTGCAAAAGATGGAAAAGATCCGGTCCACTGCAACAGTCATATCATACAGTACCCTCCCGTATTCCGATGGAAGTAACCAATTCGAGTGAAGACACAGTTGGTTCTTTAAGTCGAAACTCGAGCTGCACTGCGAAAAAACGTCCTTAACTATGAAACTGGCAGGTATGTAAGCCAACGTACAGAGTATACTGTTCAAGTTCGATTAACTGAAAGTCCACATCCGTGATCTCTCCCCCAAAGTCATCTCCTTAGCAGAAACCTAATTGCCTGAAAACGGGGCTGACCACGAATCGACACTACTCAGATTTCCCTTGTTTTCGAAAGATAGGGAAGGACGCCAGGGAGGAGTCCTCATGCATATAAAACACGGACTGTTTGTATCAGAAAGGAACAGAAAAGCTCGTGTGCAGCACAGAGTGTATCCGGGTCACTATAAAGGTACAGGGATCACAAGGCCTTAAAGAGTTACCAGTCTACAGACCACCGCAAAGGGACCTCGAACCTGATGCCTGTCTGCTGTATGAGGTAGAAATATCTACTACTCTGTATGATGTCTTGATCATGGATGACCTTAATTCACCACTTATTGACTGAGGTTCAATATACACACGAGGTTCAGAATTAGCCTTTGATTGACGTCTGTTGAACATGACGCTCAGGTCAGTCCTCATTCGGCACGTCATATTTCCTGAGAGGGTAAGTTAGCGGCAACAGCTGAACTGTCTGGATCTGGTGCGGACGAAATTGCTGGACAGCACTGACAAAATATAATGTCTGTCTTCCATGGGTCGACGCGATTAATTTGCACTACTCTGGCAAAATTCTATCTTTTCGATGCCCGAACAACCCGCCAGAGTTAGAGGTAATATTTGGCAGGCTATTTGACCAAATGGAGGCCAAAAACGCTACGAACTGGGAATCGGCGTTTTCAGACAACACCCGAGAACTGGCAACAGCTTGGTGAGTTACTGTACAGTCTCCTCCAAAACTTTCACCTCATTTCGTGGAATAGGCTGATTAACAGGTCTCAGTGACTGACACAGGTATTGAAAAGAGGAGTAGAAAAAAGAATTCTGTGGATTAAATCTCTCGTTGATTGGAACTCTGCGTCGATACATGCATGCAAGGCACAGAGAAACCTAGCCAGGCGACTTATCTTCAGAACGAGGGAAGAGTTCGAAAAAGACCTACTGAGTCGTAACGTTGGGAATTCGAGGTTATTTCACGGTTATTTAACAGACAGCACGCGCCACAGAGAACCTCTATATCTAATGAAGACTTGCAAAGACCTGGAAACCCGTTAGGACGGAACGAAGGCAACAAGTGGTGTTCCGCAAGATGAGGTCTAGGATCCTTTCATTTTCACTATTCATACAGAAGACTGTACAAGCGAGCTTGACTGCGATGCCACCAGGTTTACTAATCATGTAGAAATCTGGAAGACAATCAATCATGCTGACGACGCGCAGAAATTGTAAGAAAACGTTGATAAACTGGCCGCATGGTACACCAAGTGTCTTCTAACGTCTAATGTGCCAAAATATGTAGTCTTGCGCTAGGAATCTTGTCGAAGACGTTTCCCAAAAACACCAGTACAATATAAATGATAGTTTACTAGAAGTGGATACGCACAACGACCTAAGTAGCTGGACAAATCTGGACTTGCTGTTCTCTGAACACTACAACCGAACTATCCAAAATGTAGCACCGAATTAGGCGCGCTTTGACATTCTTTTTTTCCAAACTGTTTGCATGAATCTTTGTTACTTTCGGAAAACCCCCTTCGGACTGTGGAATGCCAGTATGGGTGTTCTGGTTGAAGAAAGACAGCGACGTCATCAGGCAAGTGCAACGACAGGCGACAAAACTGGTGGGCGGTGTTAAGACTGTCATATCAAAAAAGACAAATCAAGCTCAATTTGTTCCGCATATCCTGCTGTCCGCATTCCGCATCATCTGCAGGCATGACTGTTCGCTCCTCTCTGAAGATTTCTTTGAGTTGACAAACTTGAGTCACCCGCGCGGCAATTCGTGAAAGTTCAAATGCGAATGCCTGCACCGAGACCAACAGAGTTTTCTTTCAGTCATCGGGTAGTTCAACCATGGAACTCACTTCCAAGTAGAAGGATGACATCCGATGCCATGGTTGTATTCAAAAGCCAGTTGAATCGTTTGATTTTCTGATGATCGACGACTTTCACTGCATGCCTATCTACAATGAGCCACGAAATTTACTCCCTTGTTTCATCTCCAATATAAAACATTTCTGCACGTTTGATGTAGAATGTTACCGCAAACGTTACAACTAATTATATTTGGTGCTGACTTTTCAAAATCAGACAAGCCGCTTTCAAACTGACCGCGTCGGTAAATACCAGTCGACGGTTGAGAGCGGTGCTCGCTCAGGCTCCGTTCTTGGCCATACCCTGTGCATTTTAGGCAGCAACGATTGCATTGACGAAATTGATTGTGATGTCAGCGTATTTGCCGATGATATCAGATTTGGAAGTTTTATCCGCAACAAAGCCGAGGAATAGCGTTTGCAGGCAAACCTAAACTGACTCAAGCAATGGTCCAACAACTGGCTTTCGCCGTTCAGCGTGAGCAAATGCGACAATCTACGAGTTGGTGGAACGAAGGACGACGCTAGTCGCTCCGGAACTGGGGCGTTACAAGGTGGACATCGCTGCACTCGACGAGTCCCGCTTCTCCGAACAAGGCCAACTGGAAGTGGTTGGTGCCGCTACACCTTCTTTTGGTGCGATCGTCCCAAGGCAGAGCGATGGGACGCCAAAGTCGACTTTGCCATCCGGAACGACGTCGTGGGACAACTGCCCTGTTCGCCGCAGGGCATCAACAACCGACAAATGAGCCTGCGCCTGCCCTTCAAGGGTCCAACTTCGCCACCATCATCAGCGCCTACGTTTCACCACTGACCAGCTTTGACCAGGTTCTACAATGATCTGCACGCCCTTTGGTGCCTGTGCCGAAGGTGGACAAGTTTACTGTCCTTGGCGATTTCAACGCTCGTGTCCGGACAGACTGCGCCGCCTGAAGGGGCGTTGGGTTCTCACGGGATCGGCGACTGCAACGACAATGACCTCATCCTCCTCCTGCGAACCTGCGCGGAACACCGCCTCCTGCTGACCAACCCTTTTCGCCTGACAATGCACAGACCCTACCTCGACCATCCAACCGATGCGAACAAAGCGACCTTCTACCGAAGTCGCCGCCTCGCGCAGAGACTATTGCGAGATATGCAGGATGCCTGGATGGCTCGCAATGCCGAGGAGACCCACGGTATGCCGACCGCAACAAATCAAAGAAATTCTTCGCTGCGATCAAAGCGATCTACGACCCTCCAACGAACGGGATCGCGCCGCTTCTGAGCTCCGATAGATCGATGCTTCTGACGGAGATATCGCAGACCCTGAAGAGCTGGGCCGAGCAGTTCAGAAGCGTCCCTCCATAATCTCTGACGCCGCCATTTACTGACTCCCCGAAGTGGAAATCAACGTGAACCTGGTTCTCCCGCCCTCACACCAACCGGCAAGGCTGCAACAATCACAGAGGCACCTCATTACTCAAAATCGCCGGGAAGATCTTCGACCGCATCCTTCTCAATCGTCTCAATGGATACCTCGAGCAAGAACTCCTGCCGGAGAGGCAACGTGGCTTCCGACGACATCGGGCACCACTGACATGGTGTTTGCCGTTCGCCAGCTGCAAGAGAAAAGCCAGAAGATGCGAACCCACCTCAACACTACCTTCGTGAACTTGACGAAAGTCTTCGATACGGCGAATTGCGATAGACTGCAGAGAATCATGCCGAAATCGGGTTGTCCTGAACGACTCACACGCATGATTCGTCATTTCCACAACGGGATGATGACGCGCGTCACGGAAAACGGTGCAATCTTCGAGGCCTTCGCAAAGCTCTGTCCTCGCGCTTACCCTATCCAGTCGCATGTTCTCTGCCATACTGATGGACGCCTACCATGATAAGCGTCCCGGGATACATATCGCCTAGAGAACTGATGGGCATCTTCTCAACAGCAGGTGCATGCGGACTCGAGCACAGCACGGTCCACAATCTGCTTTTCGCCGACGCTGCGCGCTCAACATCACGACCGAAGTGGACATGTGACGGAGCATGGACCTCCCGCCGTCGGATGCGTCAACTTTGGCCTAGCAACATGGACAAAACGGCGGTCATGCACCAACAGTCATCCAACACGTAACACTGCACTTCCCTCGAATCACTGTCGACGGCCACTAAATCAAAGCCGTGGACAATTTTGCTTATCACGAAAGCACATTTTCCGACAGCATCAGAATCGACGTGAAGGTTTCCCACCGGATCTCTAAAGCCAGCCAAGGCATCGGTCGGCTGCAGAACTCCCTGCGAATTCGTCACGGCTTCCAACTAAATACCAAGCTGAAGATGTTCAAGACAGTCGTCCTAACGACACTTCTCTACGGAGCAGAGATTTTGACCGTCTACTCCAACCATATCAAGAAGCTCAATCCCTTCCATCTCAGATGCCTTCGTAGAATACTAAGGCTGCTTGCTAACCGTGGGGGGATGGGGCAAAACGACGCTACAAAGATACGTTGAAGAATTCTCCTAATCGGACTGGCATCCTCAACATTCACGCCATGTTGAGGCTGAGTTGGAACAGCCACCTCGTGAAGGTGGAAGACATACGACAACCGAAACAACTCTTCTATGGCGATGTCGCCACCGGTGTTCGCTGACCAGTAGGACCAAAAGCACGCTACAAAAACACTTGGAAGAATAGGCAGTATGTTATTACCGACAAAGACAAGGGAGGCTGGAATGGCCATTTCTGGCTTATTAGCCGTCGTCAGCCAGTCATTCCCAACCCCGAAGTCTGAAACACTCGAGGCTCGAACTCGCGACCTGTTAGTTAGAAGTCCACGCCTCTAGCTATTGGGCCACGATCCCGGTGCCCTGTCGGTTTTCATCGGGAATATACAATAATTAGGGGTGCTCACCGATCGTTCCTACTTCGGGGTTGGGTATGACTGGCTGGCGACGGCTAATAAGCCAGAAACGACCATTCCAGTCTCCCTTGTCTTTGTCGATAATAACATACTGCATATATCATGCGCAGCTGTGCGACTGCTGGTCGGGCTCGAGAGAGGGCCCGTAAGGCACAACTGAACGAGTGAGTTCCGTAAGAACGATCGGTGAGCGCCTCCTACCACTTTGAAGAATTCTCTGAAGCGATCGCATATCAATCAAGAGACCTGGGAGGACCTCGCTCAGAACATTTAACGAAGAGCCACTGTCCCTTTTCAAAGCCTAGGACATCCAACCGACCGCATTGCCTAACGCGATACCTTAAAAGGGAGATCAACAAGGAAGGCTGTGGAAGAATTTGTGCGGAAACAACGACAATGCAGCGTTTACAGCGTATAAAGTTCGAAGGAATAAGATGAAGAGCTTGATTTTCAATAGTCGACGGGATTTCGAGAGTAATTTGCGGCGGGAATACAGTGCCGCAACACTTAGAATTGTCTATTCCCCCACCAGCCTGTCTTACGGGCGGACTACTACTACTACTACCACTAATACTACTACTACCACCACCCCTACTACTGCTACTACTACCACTACTACCGCTGTTACTACTAATACTACTACCACTGGCGGGAATACAGTGTCGCAACACTGAAGAAAACCTTTTCCCCCGTCTACCACCACTGATACGGCGAATACTACTAATAATCCTACTATTAGTACTACTACTACTACCACCGCCACCATGGCTGCCAATGCTACTCTACCAACGCTTACAGTATGGGTAACTAACTGCAATAATACTAGCATCAGTAACGGAGTGTTGCGACACTGGTATCCAACCTAATTTGCTCCACCGAGCCGTTAAAAATCCGAAATTGCTCTACAGCTATTTACGAAAGAGCACCCATAACAGGAATCCCTTCCCCGTCATGAGGAATGATGAAGGTTTGGAGATATCGGACAGTAAAAATAAAGCTAACCACTTTTCTCAGGTTTTCCAATCCGTTTTCACAAGAGAAACAGATTTTATTCCATCTGGTTCTGGGAGCATGGGAGATCCGACTACTGAAAATATTGCGTTCCGAGAAGAAACGATTTCGGATGAACTAAAAAATTTGGCGGAATGTAAATCTCCTGGTCCGCACGAGATCCCAGCAAAGCTGCTCTCTGAGCTTGCCCGAAAGCTGGACATATCACTATCCATTCTGTGCCAGAAGTCGTTTAGTGCTGGAATCCTTCCCACAGACTGGAAGACGGCCCACATTACGCCCCTTTACAAAAGCGGCAGTCGTGCTCTTGCGACGAACTACAGACCCCCCAGTCTGACATCAATCTGCTGCAAAGTGATGGAGAAAACCATCCAAAAGGAGTTGATGGCTTATTTGGGAACTAACAACCTCTTGGCTGAGTGCGCAATATGGTTTCCGTAGGGGGATATGATGTGCAACGAACTTGCTTTATACAAATTTGGACAAAAACACTCGACGCAAAACACATCGTGCTTGTAGCTTATATTGAATTCCGGAAGGCACCAGCGTCTCCTGTTTAAGTATACAGGAGACGCTGGTGCCTTCCGGAAATTAACTTAAGTTTAGAGTCATGGGCATCGGCGGAAAACTTCTCAAATGGATCGAGAATCTCCTCATCGGCCGTTCCCAAATTGTCTGCGTAGAACAACAGCAATCAAGGCGCACATTCATAGAGAGTGGAGTTACACAAGGCCCGGTGCTCGGACCAACCCTCTTTCTCCTGTTCATCAATGGTTGTTAAGATGGGTTGGACTGTGATAGTGCCATGTTTGAGGATGACATAAAAATCTGGAAAGTCATCCATAATGCTGCCGATGAGACCAACTACCAAGAAAATCTTTGTCGATTGGACGAGTGGTCAGGCAGATGGCTCTTGTCCTTCAATTTAAACAAATGTACTGTATTGCGCATCGAAAATCAGACCCCTAGCACGCGGCAATAACATCTGAACGGAATGCCACTCCGAGAGGCAGACACGAAGAAAAATAGCGGAGTCTGGGCTGTAGACAGCCTAAAGCCTTCTACACGATGTTATAAGGCAGCTAACTGACTGAGGCCGGCCTGTAGAAGAGAAACGAAGATCGGAGCTGTCATCTACAAGGCAAATCGGATCGTCGCCATCAAAGCCAAACACGAGGCTCACAAATCACAAGTGTCTCGCATCCTCAGTGCCAAACATACGCCGCTTCCAACATGCCCGCGTTGCACACGCGCATCCCGCGTACGAATCGATCTCGTTGGACACCTTCGAACCCAATGTGCCACCAACCCGACGTCTACCTCTTCTGCCACTCTTACCCCCTGACGCAAACTCCGCGTCGACCGTCGATATCATCACCGCCAATCACACTGTTGCTGCCCCACCCCACAACCCCTGCATCGACCGCAGCGGCCAGCATCACCACCACTACCACTTCTTCATGCACTCTCCCCACCGATGGGGCGACGTCTGATGTCTCATCGCATTCTCCCATCACCACCAACATTCCCGCCCCCCAGAGATGTGGGCTCGATTCATATCTGTTCCTATTGCGATCGAACATTCACCTCACACATCGGCCTGGCTGGTCACTTGCGAATCCTTCACGGAGGCTGGCGAACCAGTGCTTGGGGCACCAATCACTCACCGCACCCGTCCCAACTGCTCCCGTACATTCACTCCCCTCATGGGCTTGACAGGTCGCATGCGCATTGACGACAACCTGCGGCAGACAACCACACCACGAAAAAACATCACTACTACAAGAAATCGATTGCCACATCCCACGCAAGTGGGACCCGAGTCTGAGGCCACCACGGTGCGCTAGCACCATGGTCTGGAAAGCTGACGACTGACGCCTCAGCTCAGTCCACACAGTCTGCCCAGTTGTGTGCGTTAGTGTGGAGTGGCGGACTGAGAGCAAGGCTGTCACAACTCCTCATTAAAGTGGCCTGTGGCACTCCCACGCATGTGAGGAGTGTGCAGCACTTAATAGGTAGTGTCCCTCATTCGCTGACTGACCGGTTACCCAGCCTTTGGATGATGATGGTCCAGGCGAATACGGGGCTGTGTCAATCTTCTGGACCCGAGTTTGTGAACGTTTGCTTGGTCATGACCAGCAAACGACGGCCCTAGCAGCCTGGTATGAGCTGGCAGGACAAGCAGATCCCGTAACCCGATCGGTGAGCGTCTTTCCAACCTGTAAATATTTGCAACTTAACTGCTTTCCACGCAGACCTGTGTCGTTTAAATGGGGTTTTCAAGGGCTTCTGCCATTTACTCCAAATACACTTGTTGATTGATTGCTTGATCGCTTAACATTTAATAATCCTGATCGCAATAGATAGGACAACGAACCCGTGAGCTAAATGGTTAGGGCGTTGAAAAGACAAAAGCTTAATCATAAAAAGAACACCCGGTGTCAACAAACCTGAAGTAGGATAAGGCTGGTTAACAGCTACTCCGGTCTCGCTTGTCTATGTCGGCACCCCCTTATTTGCATATATAACAGTTCAACCGTCGATTTCAACGATATCCAATTTGAGCTCCACAGCAGAGTGAGAGCATGGGCGGTGACTTTCGCTCTCTCCTCCTATCCCACCTAGTCCCGGTGTCATGACCAAGTCAAGATGACCGGCTGCGGGAAAGGGCGTAGGTAGCTAGTGTTTTCGAACTGTATCCCTAACCAGGTGAGGGCGCCCCTCGGGGTTAAGGTAGTCAATTTGAAGTAAATACTTTCAAATAGCCCCGGGGCGGGCCTGCTGCCGAGTAAGGACGACATCGTCTTCCTAATCGATGCTGCCAGCAAGATTTTCACTATTATTAGAAAGTGTCTATCGGTTCGACGTGACATCTCCATACCCACAACGACCCGCGCATGCCGGCATTCATCTGACCAGTTTTCCTATACAGTTGTGAATACTGGGCTGTGTGCGTAGAAAACGAGCGAAAACAGGTGAGTAACCAATAATGCCTGAGTAACATCCTCCGAGCGAAGTGGACTGGCTTCGTCTCAAGTGAAGCGGTCCCTACTCGCCGCGAGAAAACCGCAAGAATATGTCTCAGGCCATCCAAGAAAGACGATTGAGACGGTCTGGGCACGCTCGTCGCCCAACCCATGGGCTCACTGTTCCTGGCCTCGATCCGGCGCCGTTTCCCACCTGGATGTGTCAAAGAAGAGTCAAACTTTAAACCCGGCTCAAAACAGTTCGTCAAGACATAGAGGTGATTCCTGGACCTTCAGTATTCAGTCTCCGTTGCCGGAGGGGTGAATGGGTCGAGTTCTCCGGATCCGTTTTCAATGATCGAGGCCGAATAAGTAAAACACCAACTAGCAGGCGACTGAAAGGTGGGATGACTCCAGGTAAGTTAGAAACTGTATTACTTGAGATGACCGAACGTCGATTGGAGTTTAACGGTTGCATGAACTCCAGCCCGGAAAAAAATGCAGGTCTTGGGGGCGAATGCTACCGTCGAGACACAATGAAGGGAACTGCCCGATGTCATCCAGGACATCGAGGTGGAAGCCGTCGACTGCGCAGGCCGTCAGCATCGGGACTGGGATGATAAGGGAGTCTGTAATCTGCTCTCCGATCTACACCATCAGCATCGACGACGTCACTAGAGTCACATACTTCCTGTCCCCAATCATAACACGGCAGCAGGAAATCCAGAACGACTGGTCGACTCGGAAAGCTGGGGAGATCCATGGATGTGCCGAACACGGTGAGATTAATAATTCCTTTCCGACCATCAGGGCCATCTATGGTTCTCAAGACTGGAGGACTGCGCCATGCATAAGAGACAGACTCAACTCCAGCCGAAATTTATAAAAATGGCCTCTGAAAACTAATGGACAAGCTCACCCCTGTGTCCAGGTGCACGCCGATATCCTGTGCGTGTACAAACGAAGAGGTAGTCGGCAACTCTTCTCTTCCTCTCCTCAACACTGCAGGCAAGCTCTTCGTCCGAGTTCCACTCAGTCGTCTGAACAAGCGCCTGGAACAGAGACTACATCCAGGAAATTCCACAAACACCGGTGGGGGAAAACGTACATAATTTTTGCAGCCTCCCAATTGCAAGAAAAGTGCCCGGTAAATGCGGACCCTGCCCGACAGCAACTTTTTAAAGCTGATGAGCGCCCTAGGCAAAGTCTGGAGAATCATGCTGAAGTTGGGGTATTCAGAGTGACGGCAACAGGATGTGGTGACGGTCCGCATCACGGGACGGAGGGCATTCTCGGATGTATTCGCGATGACAAATGAAATAAAACAACCGCTCAGCAGCCGACGAGGACAGACTAGTGGTGTAAAAACCCCCATTGGGGACTATGAAGGTCCTGCCAGCTCGCCTATAAAACTAAAAACGTAAAGATTTTTAGCAAACAAGGTCGCTATTTCGATGCCACATCTTTGCTCAATTGTAGTTTCTAAGAAGTGGTAGTTAAGATCCTTCGAAGCATGCATTCCCACATCTTTCACGTATTGTGTTATCACATGCTTCACATGTGATGGGCGAGCCCTAGGGACGGAACAGAAGTAACCTGCAAGTTCATGAGTCCCCAGGGTGCGCAGCAAGTGGTTATGCAAGAATAAATTAGTCTGTTGCACGAAAAGACAAAACACAAATCAAGATGGCGTCGCCGTTCTCTCCTCTCAAGATAAACGAGAAGACGACCAACTGTAAGCTCTGGAATGTATCAGAAGGGTCCCAGACGCGGTTAAGGACGACATTATTTTCCGCATTGATGCTGCCCGACGGGTTTTCTCAGGCCTTAGAAAAATACAATGGATGTGACACCACATCTCCATCGCCACTAAGATTCGCTTGTGCCGTGCATCCATCTGGTAGAGTGATGGGCTCTGTGTGTGGAGGACGATCGAAAACTGGAAGTATTTGACCACCAATGCTTGAGGACCATTCTTCGAGTGAAGTGCATCGACCTCGTCTCAAATGAGACAGTCCGCACTCGCTGTGAAAACATCGCAAGGATAACCCAGGTCATCCAAGAAAGACGACTAAGGTGGTTTGGGCATGATTCTTTGTCGTCCGCCTCAGGAGCTCAGTGTCACTACCCTCCATCCAGCACCGTTACCTCATCAGAGGCGTCGAAGAGTAGGGCAACTCCAAACCTGGCTCGACACAGTTCGTCAAGACATGGAAGTGGTTCTTAGACCTCCGGTATTCGATCTCCGTTGTTGGCGAAGGGAATGGGTTGAGCTGTCCAGATCAGCTGCCGCGGGTCGTCAGGCGCGGAGAGCTACATTTCGGGGCATCATCGGGGCCGGCTAGATCAGGAATGGTCGCAGTCGTACCAAATAAGCAGGTTACTGACTTCGCATATATATATGGAGTCGAGAGTAAATACTTATCACAACGATATGGCACGTCAGCGTGCGAGAAGGAGACCAAGTGCAGTCGTGGACAGACCAACCCAGCCGGAGAAATGAAAACGCTACTTTGGACGCAGGTGACCCTACAGGCTTTAGCAGTGGAGACGATAGTTCGACCGTCGTTACCGACGATGTCTACCGTGTGCTCTACATCAAGGTGAGAGCAGGGGGCGGTTTATAGTGGATGTAGAATGGTAGGGTGCGCTCACCGATCGTTCTTACGGAACTCACTCTTGCCGCTGTGTCTTACGGGCTGTCTCTCAAGCCCAACCAGCGGCCGCACAGCGGCGCATGATGTAGGCAGTATTTTATTACGGACAAAGACAAGGGCGACTGGAATGGCCATTTCTAGCTTATTAGCCGTCGTCAGCCAGTCAAACCCAACCCCGAAGTGTGGAACATCTGAGGCTCGAACGCGCGACCTGTTAGTTAGAAGTCCACGCCTCTAACCCCCAGGCCACGAGCTTGTTGCCCTGTCGGTTTCGATCGGGAGTATACAATGGTAGGGGGCGCTCACCGATCGTTCTTACGGAACTTACTCGCTCCGTTGTGCCTTACGGGCTCTCTCTCTCGAGCCCAACTAGCAGCCGCACAGCGGCGCATGACATAGGCAGTATGCTATTACCGACAAAGACAAGGGAGGGTGTGAACTTTCAAAGAACCTATCTCACTATCTCCTCTTCCTCCACCTGAACCTGGTTTCAAGACGGAGTCAAGAAGACCGGAGGCGGTAGAGGGCGTAAGTTGATGGCACGGTCGAGCCCGCACCTTGGCGTCCCACTCCACACCCCTTGGTTCACACAGCAAATGACCAGGTTCTTGGCCAACAAAAACAATGGGGGACGGCAGAAGTCCTAGTGTGCGCGACGGCTGCCGGCAACCGGGTCTGCCATCGCACCCAGAAATGTTGGCGTTTGTTATGGTGTGCAATCCGATAAGGCCTGCAAGAATTCGATATGACCCCCATGTTGGTCCAGCACATCTACACCGTGGCCCGTTTGAGGGGCCAAGCAGTGGAGAAGACAGACAATAACAGACACACGTTTCAGAGCAGTGACCTCGACGGAGTTCCATCCCCGAA